TTAGGAATTTCTAAATAAGAAAGTTTTTTCCTTTTTATTTTTATTTTATTTTCCCCATTTACTAGAACTTCCACCAGGATATTTGATGTTAATTGAAGTTATGAATGTACAGGTATTACTCTGTGCTGGCAAAGACATACCTGAATTAGGTCTAGGAAACTTTATTCCATGTACAACTTTATTTGCATATACATTATACATTGAAGCATAAGATTTACATTTCCTTGAATGTTTAATAACAGGTGATTAATTTATTATAGGGTCATAAGGAGAGGCTAAAGCATTTATTACAATTGTCTTTATGTACTTGTAGATACAAGGAAATGCATTCACAAAAAAAGTGCTTGTCAAGTGTATTGTTACATTATTCATTAAAATCAATAAAAAGGAGTTTTCACGAATACCTGTACTCTGACGATGCCATCTTTAGTTAAGCCCTTTTGTATTTATAAACTTTTAGGAGAATTTGAAAATTAGGAAAAATTAGAAGGGAATGGATGATGAAACAAGCAGAAAATTTGTTACAATGGTAAGGAAAAAATAATAGTATTAATAAAGACATTACTGCTAAGAAGAATAAAGTTAATGGTTATTTTAACAAAATGATCATACACCAGACAAACAAATTCACATATAAAGAAAGTTATAACTAAATTTATTTCCAGCCAAAAGTTTGGTAATATACTTATTATTTAAGTTTGAATTTAAAGATTAATGTAGCCTATAATGTAAGGGGACCGTTGCTTAGATTTTTCTTTTAAAAAATTCTGTTTGGAATGATTATAGAGACATTATATCTCAAGTTGGGTTTCATTTGGTGAATAAATAATTGAAATTTAAGATAAAATCATAATTTTTCTTGTTTGGTACACCACATTGTCGGGCTGAAGGTTATCATGAGGAATGACGAAGTGTGAAGAAAAATATCCAGTGATCGTCATTTCTTATCTAGAAGTTGTACCTGTGATTTTTTAATTCCTTAAGATAGTTTCAGAATTTGAGTTTGAATTTTCAAGGAAAGAAAAATTTTGTTTCCATTTTATTTAAAATATATTCAAGAAATTAAAAAATTCCTTGGTACCAAAAGTAGTATACTTTCTATTCTGCAACATGCAGCGTAAATGAAGAGAATTGTACAAGTATATACGAATTTATAAGCAAAAAGAATGAGAATAAAAAGAGGCAGTTTAATAGTTACGTCAACCAATCAGATGTAGTGGTGCTCTATGTTGCTACGGCTTGCATGTTCATGTTCGTCATAGTGTTGCCAGATGTTGATTGAAGTGAAATCTACATCCATATGGGGTAACGAAAAAGGCCACTATGTCTATTTTTTATTATTTCCCTACCTATTCCCTATTTTCACCAACTCCATTAAAATGATTTTGTTTTAGAAAAAAAAGAAAATAAATAAACTAAAAATTAAAGTGACGGTCCCCTTAAGTCATAGCTTATGTCAGTCTTGGTGGACAGATCCAGAAGCGGGTATTTTGAGGAAATGATAATAATTATGAAGTTAATAGCAACAGCAAGATATAAAACTGAAGTAGATACAAGTAAGCTTTGTTTGCTCGTTTTTGTGGACGAGAGTTGAAAAATTACTGCAATTTATTGATTAATTTTTATATACAGTGTAGCTGCAACTCTGACAAGATATAAGGATTAAGTTAAGAAGTTGTGTTGCAGGAATAGTGGTTGGTAAGAAGAGATTCTTTTTTATTTTTCTTATACAATTTTCATTCACCTCTTTGTCTGTTCTCTCTTTTCTCGTTTTCTTCTCAGATTCTTTGGGAAGTGGTTTCCCCTTCCTTATTTTTTTCTGTCTGATTTGTTGTAGAGAATTTACTTTCAGATCTTGTAAAAAGTTAAAACACAAGTCTCTCTCCAAGTTTGTTGCTAGTGTTGTAAATGTATTTCATATGGTGGAAAAAAGAAGTTATTTGCCATTATGACTCTCAGAATATTTCTGTCCATCCTCTAAATATAGTAAATCCACTCAATTCTTAAAAATTTCACTCTTTACTCATATATCTTTCTCTTTTTCCAAACTAGAACTTTTGACTCATCCAAGGTCTATGTCGGATTCCAGCCTTGTCTAAGATGAAAGTAAGAAGTCTTTCGATGCTCAGAGTTTTTTCAAACTTGATTTCTCCTGGTTCTCAAAAAGAAGGTTCATAGAGATGATACTCTTTTCAACTGCACGTTACAGTCAATACTCATTTACAATTGCTAGTGTCTGCTAGAGGTAGGTATGAAACTGCCCAAAACTACCGCATCATATTCTTTTTATGGTTGAGACATAAGAGGTGTGGAAAAGGGTGTGATCTTTTATTTTTCTTCATTCTTTCCCTCTTTATTTTCTTTCTTCCTTTTCCCTTTCATTTTCCTTCCTTTTTGTCATTTATTTTCCCTAAAGAGGGAGTCCAATTATACTTCCAGAGGTTGGGCAATAAGGCCATTGGTTCCTCTGTGAAAGTCCAAACTCTAGTCTTTCCTGACTTATTGTTTCGTGTGTCCTTATGTTCTCGGTTGTTTTGGCATAATGTTTGTATTGAGTTTGGGAATGCCAAGGGGGTGGGGGGCATATATAAACCCAGGATATTGATAAAAGGTCATTTTTTGATGTGGTGGATTATTGATTGATAGAAGAAGGAATATGTAAGAGAAAATATTAAAGAAAAACGTAATTCACTGTATATTTTTTACTATTACTATTACTGTTACATACTAGCTGTATCTTTACCGGTGCTTGATGTTCAACAGCTTCCAGTAAATAGGAAAGCCAAAGTATATGGAGCTTGTAATTTTTGTGAGTCCTGGTGATTCTAAAGGCTTGTACGGTCCTATTTTACTACGTTTGGTCAGAGCTTAGTCGGCTTCATAGTACGAGAGCAACAAGTGCAATCACAACGGAGGTGTAGAAGCTGATCTATGAAGTACACGACTTTGGTGCAGTGAGGCAGTGGCACTCCAGTTTGTCTTTGCACATTATTTATTATGATGTTTATGGTCTTATTATTTGTATTATTTTTACGTCATTGATGGTAATAATTATTATCATATTAATATAACCATTCAGAATGTATCTGTAAATGTATATCACAACCAAGTGCAGTCGCATTATGTTAATTATTATAAGTCAAGTAGTTTTAAAAATCTGGCTAGTTATAGTTACTCATATCTGCTTGTTCTGAAAAGAAAAACAAGTGTGAGAGAGAGAAAAAAAAAGTATTATATTAAGCACAATTTACACATAATGATGTATTTACATGTCCATGTTTTCATCTGTAGTTGAGTATAATAAGCAAATTGCGAAGTCGCAAAAAAAAAATCACAACAGAGATTACAGGAATTCTTCATTTAGTGACCTTGTGAGAGGTGGATTAACTTAGAAAAAATAACTTTGATTGTCGCATATGTCTTTTCTCCGTTTTTTTATATATTTTGCACATGGTAAGTGAGATGATAAGATCTAGAATCATGTGGAAGCCAAATTTCTAATTTTGCATGTGAAAAATTGTACAGGTTAAAAATAGTACAAGTATTTTATGTTGATTATAATTTTTTCTTTTCTTTTCATTCTTTCTTCCTTTAATTTTATGTAGATAATTTCTCTCCCTTAGAGATTAATCATGAATATATTTTTCTTTTAGGCTTGTTATAAGAAAACACGCAAGGTTAACCTGGGACATAATAGATATAATAAAAAGGCAAGGAGAAAGGCATTCAAAGCATTATGGTCATTACTTTTCTGTTCTCTTTGACTGGATATATTGTGCAATGATTATTGCTTTGTCTTGTATGTGGTATATTTATAACTCTGTGGGTGTTATAGTCAAGTATTATGTGTTGTGATATTTTATCCCAAAGACTGAAGTGCACCTCAGTGTTGTAAAAGGAGGTCGGAGGATTCTGTTTTAAGTTGCTTTGCCACTTTATGCTGTTGATATGAAAGAAGAAACTGGACTTCGGTGATGACTTCGGCAAATTCCCTCCGGTGAGGTCTGTATGGGCCATGCTCTTGGTATTTTGTTCAGAAAAGAGGCTGAAATTATGAATGTTATGAAGTGATTTTATCATTGTCATTTTATTGATATATTATATTATTATTATGTTTTTTTCTCATTGATATTTATATTTTATTATGGAAATACTTATTCATGGGATTATAGTATCCCCTGCTTGCATGGGCTCAGCATTTTAGTTGATTAATATGCATTTGTCACAGGTGTATCAGCAAGAAAAATATAACAGTTTATATGTCATGTACAAATCTCACTTTTTATTTTTACCTTATAGCTTGAATGTGAAGGTAATTTTTGCTGATGGTATTGAAGCTGTGATTATTGTAAACATAACTTGTGTATTGCATTTATATACTAACAACAAAAGTGTTTTTGTTGTCTGTGTTACAAGCAACCATTCTTTGTTACATTATTATTATATTGGTATTATTGTTATTTTGTTCCTTTATTATTATGATCATTATCTCCATTACATATTGCTATTAATATTAATTATCATCGTTATTATTAATATTATCATCATCATTATGAACAGTTGATGTCATTTTATTTTGTTTTAGCTTTTCCAATGAACATGAATAATATGTTTTATGCAATCCAGGAATTAATTTCAAAACAGATTTCATGGTCAGAGCATGTACCAGCCAGTCATCATGTTATGCCACACGCTGTGACGAGATGGTAACGTATGAATGATGCCATTCTTGCAGTTACAGTTAGAAGATTGTAAGATTGATAGGTGTTTGTATTTAAGATGAAAAAAAGTTTAGGATAGATTGATGTCCGTTTCTGGGATTTCACTTTTGATCGAGCCGTGTTACAAGTACCATGAATATTAAGATTTGTAAATACAGATGGCCACTTCTTTTCGAATGTTGAAGAAAAGGAAGAGCAAAAGACTATATATAAAGCTTTTTGAACTTTTACTCTTTTGTTCATGATTATATGAAACTATTGTCATGTAATAAAGAGTTAGTTGGATGATATTTGGATTACAACAGGAGCTGATGTTGAGTGTTACTTTGTAGACCAAATGGACTGAATGTGATCAGTTAAGAGTATTTTATAATGATTTACCCTTTTGTCAGTATTTCAGAGGTCAAATTAAAGCATTTTTTTATCCTTTTGCTGAGTGTCCCAGTATTATGGGATTTTATACTTTGAAGAATATTAAATATCAGATCCAGATGCAAGTGTTAATTCTTCCTCCTCTAGAAATGATAGTGAATGGATGAAAATACTAACAATGATGAAATTTGAAAAAAGGAAAAAACATTTATAAGGCTGTATTTCAGTCTATTCCATTTACATAAACAAGACCATAGAGAACTGAATTACTGCATAAAATGTATAGAGTTGCAATGAACAAAATGTCAACAGCTTCAAAGCTATACTTGCTGGTTCAGTAATATAAAAATGTTAAGGCTTCAGTTTTACTAAAATAAATGTTTTTTATACTAATGGTACAATAGATTTTAATGTATCATGTTGAAGTGTGAAATACTGTATTATATGTTTTACAGTAAGATTATGATTATTACATTTTTTCATTATACTTAAGATATGCATGATCCCTATAACTTCAAGAATAATAGACTCATGAATTGTACATTACACAAAATGTATAGATAGCTGAAGAGTTAAGAAGCTCAGATTACAGGACACTTTTCTGCATGACAGAAAAAAACTATAATCGTTTTCTTTCTTTTCTTCTCTTTTCTTGAAGTCCATTTCTTTTCTTTGCTTGTCATACATTTCTCTCCTCCTATATTCCTAAACATTTGCTCATGGAATTTATCTACTGGAAAAGTATTACTTAAACTTGTATCACTTTAAAGTCCCTCCACTGGTATTTAGAAATAATGAATATAACACAACTATTGTAATAGATAGATGTACAGGTTTCTTCTTGTAATTTCAGAATAATATCCATGTAGAATAGTATAGGCTTAAAGTTTTCTTTGACTTATTTGGCATAACATTGTCAAAATTTTATGCTTTGTCTTTCCACTGTTGATGATTGAAAACTTTTTGATATATAGGTGTCAAGCCATGTAGATGCCTTTGATATTTATTCTTATATAAACAAGTATAATATTTGTTATAGTTTTTCACTCTTTACTTATATAAGTTAAGTTTTAAGTCATGTACATAATTGGTAGTATGAACATGCTACATGTAAAGTTTACATCATTTGGATCATATATTCCCAGCCTGATGCGTAGCAGTTAATGAATCCCACTCCTGTTCATAGAATTGCAATTTGTAAAATTCTACATAGTGGTTGTTTCAAGGGAAGAATATTTTAAATTCCATATAATTTTCTTACAATTTTCCATGTTCTGTACTCCATATTTCTTCAACACAAGTAAATTTTCATCCTAGCAAGAGATCAAAAGACTATTACAGTTATATTACTTATTCCTTATTGTCTGTGTTTCAGGTATTTTGAATAAATTATTTCCATTCACTGCTCTTGAAAACATTTTACTTTTATCCCAGGTTTATCACCTCAAAATCACTTCTTTATGTGATAGTAATCAGACTTTTCACTCTCATCTCCCAAATACAAAATATGCAAACCATTTGAATATGATAAGGAAGTACCATATATTACTTTCATATGAACTAAGAGGTCTTAAATACACATGTTGATAAGAATTATGCAAAATGATTAGCTGAACTTCAATATTTTTTGTATGATGTTGATTTCCACTTCAAAAACATACATATTTCATGAATAATTCCCCAGTGATGGGTACAGCTATAGCTGTCATGACATGTAAATGTGTCATGACCCGCACCAGATGTGCCGCTGTACACAGCTTAGGCCTAGCCACTAAGTCTAGACTGTGGCAAAATATTACATTACATACAAATCAGGCACAGTCACCACAGGGATAATGTTGCTAAATGATTGATGGTTCTAATGCAACAGAGGAAGTGCATTCCAATCCTTGCAAGGTAAACAAGGAATGCAAAAGATCAAAAGACCTAACCTAACCTAACCTAACCCTAACCTTTAACCTAACCTAACCTAACCTAACCTAACCTAACCTAAACCTAACCTAACCTAACCTAACCTAACCTAACCTAACCTAACCTAACCTAACCTAACTTTATTGATATTTGGATATTCTTAATACACCCTACATGTTAGCAACTATTTAAATGTTTAAATGTTAATATAGTATTCCTATGCAATTGATGAGAAATTGGAATCATTTTACAGTAGTACTACCCAGATTGCGGCCCAGCTTTCTTCATTTATTACTGTACAGGCTAAACTCTCAGGTTATCTTCTCTTACAGTAATCCTAATGTGTGTTGTGGAAAAAAAAGGATGAGTTAGGATAAATAATACCCAATACAAAAATCCTCACATTTATGTATGGAAGAGATATCATAAAACCAGAGCAGTCAAAATCCTCCGGCTTGGCTGCATCAGTTCACATTTTGTATACAATAAATCAGTCACCAAAGTACTACTTGTATTATGGCAATTAACTTTACAATTACCTCATTCCCACAGTGCCACAAGTCCAACCACTCAGTGTAAAGAGCAAACATGCTTCCTGTTATTTCCATATTTTCTTTTTTAAAAATGATTACTGATTAATATACTCTAAAGCACCATGTAATGATAAAACAGTATCCCAGATGAAAAACATGAAGCAACAAACTAAATGACATTCACACATTGGAACCTGAATTCTGGAATGCCACTTGAGGGCCAATGATGTATATATATATATGTATAGCAAGACTGTATCACAGATATGGACTGCCTAAAGAGATACATTATGTGGAATAAAGAGAGCAAAGAAACTGTACAAGAAAATATGCATCCAAAAGAAAGCAATAAATCATATACAGGTGCAATGATTTTTTTTAAAGAATAACATGTTTTAAAGATGTTTTTCAGACAAGTCATTTCCACAAAATAATACAAGAGGCTTATAAATCACAAAGCCTACACTTGAAATCAACTCCAATCATTTGTTCTTGAAACAATAAAACAGATTTTTACATGTTAGAGTTTCTTCAATGATGTGTAAATTCTCCACTTAACTGCATTGCTCTTATGACACTGTCTTGCTTCACACTCTTTACTGGCAATGTTCTGTGCCTTAAAGTAACATACACTGATTATGTATTACGATTATTGAAGTTTACTAATTGTAACATATGACACTTTATTAAGATAACTCTGAAGTGAAATTTAATAATTGGATACAGCTGTTGCTATCTTATATTGCACATGGAAGTATAACTTCATTGCTGAGATTGCTAGATTGTATTTTAAGAAGCAATGTCATGGAATGTGACTTCTAAAAACAAAAATATTGTTTAAGCTTTTCTTTTCACTCACATAAAAGCTCCATAATGAGGTATTTTCACATAATCCTCAAAAGTTTAATGTTTTTCTGGACATAAATGGATTATCTTGTACACATATAATATATATCTATATCATATTATATGTAATATAATATACATACATAATATATGATACATGATGTATATATAAATAAATAAATAAATATATATATAAGTATATGTATTCATCTATTTATTTATCTATTCAAATGTCTGGCTGTTTGCAGCTTGTCACATTATAACTCTATCTTTTGTACCAATACACATTTAGTAGTAGAAGTGAGAGATATAAATATTGAAAACCCTGATGACAAGTGATGACAAGTTTCATATATAGTCTCTTTGTAGAAGAAAGGTCAATAATAATATTGAAAATAGAATATAAAAGAATGAGGGTGTAATGTTTGCCTAATATGAACACCTACAATGCCACAAATGTACCTAATAAATTGAAAACACAAACCTCCCTTCAGGCCCCAATTAAGACCTTTGAGGAGGATCGGATTCCGGGTGTTTTATAATTAAAAAGTAGTAACAAAAGAAGAAAAAAAAAACAGAAATGAGAGACGAAACTCTTCGAGGTCATCATGTGTTATCTCCTCTCCTGTGCTTGGAGAGACTGAGCACTTCTTGGGCTCGGTCCTGCCACACGTTGGACTCCCTCTGGATGCGTTTCGTGTTGTTGGCTACAATTGGGTCTGCAGAGCCATAGTTTGGAGGGTTGCCATTCGGGTCGTAGCCCAGCACAGCCAGCATGGGTGCAATGTTGGCCATGTCTTCAACCACATCTTTTGGGATCTGGCCGACCCACTTGCTCAGTGCATCGAGGTTCACCGGCTTCACCACTTGGTCACTCGAACGCTCGACCCTGGTGGGGGTAGGGTAAGGGTGGTCAATAAATATTTTCATGTCATGTACGCTTATGCATAAACGGACACATTAGACAACCTTCTATTAGTAAAACACTCGGTATTCTACTCAGCAAATGATGCAACAAAACTGATTTATCCGGTATAATCAGCTATACACCAAACTGTTATATCTGTCACAAGTTAATCCTTCAGAACAATTGCACAAAATATCCATCCACTCACTTGGACAGGGAGACTCCGCCTGGCTTGTTGACGAACTCCTCATGGTGCAGAACGGCATCATCCCATGGCACTTCCAGGAAGGTCAGGATCTTCTTCATCCACTCCTCAGGGTGCAGAACCAGCTGCTCGTAGTACACTGGTAAGCACCGGTCTGGCCCAAGCTCACTGCACTGCGTGTTCATGGTCTGAACGGCATTATTCCACCTTTGTAAACACTGCTTGTATGATGACAGGTCAAAGCCTGTGATTGTTACCTAAAACGTCATTGGGAAAAACAGCCGTTACATGCCTTTTAATCGTAACATGTCAGTTTTTCTTAAAAACAACACAAATAAATAGCATTAATCTAGTCAAGACAAATATTAGCAAATCACTTCAAGGAAAACATGTTTTCCTTCATCAAACATCAAAACAAGCAAAGTGTAAGAAACATTCACAAATATTGGCATGTACGTGCAGCAAACCCTTACAACACAACAAAACAGGACAGAGCAAATCAAAA